TCGTGGTTTTCGTCAAAGGGTTGAATCTTCGACCCCATGGAGTATCGAATCCGACTCGATTCAGGTGCCGGTTCGGTTTAGGTAGTAGGGGTGAAGATGAAGGATTTGTTATGGTGACTAAAGCAGTAGCGGCTGCACAAGAGGTGGTCAGGTGTTCATTGCCGAGGACTATACGAAACAATCCGTATAAGGCTCAGGGAATTCGAGTCAGTCTCGTCCATGCTAGTGACCGTGGTGCCCAGGGCGAGCCGAATCGGATGCCATCCGTGGCTAAACTTTACAATTCAGAGTCCTACATGAAGAAAAGATCAGGGGAAAGTATGAGCTTTGTGCCTGCACTATGCTATGGAACCAGGCATCGGCATTGAATGTGAGTGGATTACGTACCATGCGTGGCTAGGCGTCGAACGCTGATTCATTTATGACAACAACAGCGACGATGGAACGCAACAAGTTATTGAAGAGCTAGATTTTCTAGACTATAATGTCAGCAGACATGCCTGGCCATGGATTAAAACACAAGAGGCTGGCTTTTCACACTGTGCTTTGAGAGCAAGAGATGAGTGTAAATGGGTAGCATTCTTCGACGTTGATGAATTCTACTACTTCCCTCGTCATCACCGGAGAGGACTACTTGGTCCAAATTCGTTAAGATCCTTGGTTGCAAATTACTCTTCCTCAACAACCATTGCAGAAATAAGAACAGTTTGCCACAGTTTTGGGCCATCTGGATTGACTTCACCTCCATCACAAGGAGTAACCGTGGGTTACACTTGCCGGCTCCAAAGTCCCGAGCGGCACAAGTCGATAATTCGACCCGATTTGCTCAACGAGACACTTCTCAATGTGGTGCACCATTTCCAGCTGAGGAAAGGGTTCAAATATCTGAATGTGCACGAAAGTTCCATGCTTATAAACCACTACAAGTACCAGGTTTGGGACACATTCAGAACCAAGTTCTTCAGAAGGGTGGCGACCTATGTCGTCGACTGGCAAGAAAACCAGAACCAAGGGTCGAAAGACCGGGCGCCCGGGCTCGGTACCGAGGCCATTGAACCACCGAATTGGCGATTACAGTTTTGTGAAGTATGGGACACCAGACTGAGGGACTTTGTCTTGGCAAATTTAGCTGATCCCGCCACAGGCGCCTTGCCTTGGGAGAAGCCGGTTTTGTAACGATACCAAATTTGGGTAAAACAGAGTAATTACACCAGCAAAAAATCCATTCTTTTCATTTTTTTTAATTGATATTGGGATCACAGTTTAGGGTTTTTCCAGAGCTGTAAACTCTGTGATGACGAAATTACAGTCTTTGCTTCTTTCATAATTCATTTCTGTAATGAATGAGCAATGATATGAAAGCAACTAGATACAGATGGATTCTTTGCTCACTCTAAAGCACCAAAAGTAGCCCACTGATTTGTATGAGAAACCAGAATTTGTACACTTCATAATATGCTTTTCAAACTATAATTTGAATATTGCTAATGAACCTTCCTCTTTCTTCCCTTTCACTTTCGAAGCTTGCCGTGCACCCATTCCATGAATATTTCATGCCAAGTCAAAAGGCAATCCAACCATCCACATTTGATCATCATTTCTTAGCATTTAAGAGTACATAACTTGTCGCATGGCTCGTTCGATATTGCATTCAAACAGTGACGGATCTAAAAGTAATTTTGACAGATGATCGTATATGTATCAACATATTAAATTTTTTATTTATAAATTGGTACAAAATAAAATTTCAATACGAATACAATCAATAAAATAAATAAGTAATAAAAAATCAAATTTTAAATAACATAGTAATTGCATTATTTATAGTTAACTCTTAATTTAATTGGCAACAAGATTATTACAATTTAAAAAAAAACGTGAATTTAAACTTGTTTAAAAATATTGATTAAATTAAAACTCAAAATAACATTAACAACAATAGATGAGATAAGAAAAATAATGTGAATGGTTTTAGCCGCCACGAAAGTCTTAGACTGTGGATCCAAAATGATGTAGCCATCGATTCAAAAAGCATGAGACTTGACCAAAACCACACTGTAGTGAACACTATTGTTTTATTAATTATTGTGTTTCAACTTTGTCTTTTGAGTTGATAAAATGGCCGAGTAAAAGATGAGGAAAAAATTTCAATTTAATTCATCTTGAATATTATTTTTTATGTATGGTGAATTATACAGTATTATCTAAAGACGTTAAGTATTTCACGCGTCTTCAAGTTAAATATGAAGATTTCACGACTGCATGGTGTCTTCAACAAATAAAGAAAACCCCACGACTGTATGATGTCTTCAGACAAATGGAGAAAATCCCAGGAATGCACGACGTCTTCACACCAATAAGAAACCCTAGTTCATAAAATAATATGGTCGATGTCTTATATGAAAAAAAATCATTTTTCCCACAACACTATATAGGCGAAGAAGTCGAGTTGAGTTTGTGGTATACCAATAAAAATGTATTATTAAAATTACTTTTAAGTTTCTAATATATAACGAGTTAAATGGTGATCCTGATATTTTTATTTTCTTTTAATGTAAGTAAAGAGTAATATTTGAAGGGATAACTATGTGATAGCAGTGACGGATCTATAAATTTAAGAATAGATGTTCAAAATTTTAATTTTATTTTCTTAAAAATAATATGTACGCAAAAATTGTAATTTGTCCCTTTAACACATTAAGCTAAATTTAACATCTTTTTTAAAATAATGGGGATGCACTTGGCCCCTATGGGGACGTAGTGCATCCGCCATTGTGTGATAGAATAATTTATATTACATTTTAAATTCGTTTTTGAGATATTTTTTATAAAAGAAAGGTTATAACCAATTATTGTATTACTTCATCTAAAATAAATCATTAAAAAGTGTAAACGATTAAATTAGTAGTTAAATTTAGAATATAACTAGTTGGTCCAGTGTGATAAGACATTAAATTACTTAAGTAAGATCATAGGTCTAAATTCTAGCATTTGCAATGGAAGCAAATTGGGTTGGAATGGTCGCCCTTGCCTCTATAGCATCTGATCTATTAGTCGATTAATAGATCGAATGATAATTATAAAAAAATCTAAATCAAAATTAAATATCTAACTATACATAAATTTATATTTAATTTCGAGTTCAAATTTTCAAGACCTTAATATTTATAAAAAAAATCAAAGTAAAAGTAACCATAACAAATATTTATGGAACTTTTAATAATATTTTACAAAAAAAAATATTAATACAATACAAAACTATATATAGTAATTTTTAGGGTAAAGTATGCAAATAGTACTTCGACTATAAGACATTGTTTTATTGAGTTTTTTTACTATTAAAAGTTAAAAAATTAACCCATGGACTATAAGGCATTATTTTATTGAGTCAATGACTATTAAAAGTTACAAAATGGTCACTCAACTGCTTATATATTCCAAACACATCATTTTCAATTAACAAAATTGATGACAGCTTAAGTTGGACGTTAACTTGCTTATTAGGATAAGATAAAATTCAATCACATAATCTAAAACGACTATCATATCTTAATCAGTAAATTAACATCTAACTCCGATGACCGTCAAGCTTTTCAATGAAAAATGATGAATTTGAAGCATATGAATAATGACTATTTTGTAACTTCTAATAGTCGGACAACTCAATGAAACATCATCCTATAGTTGAGGGGTTAATTGTGTACTTTACCTATTTTTTCACAATTATACAGCCAATGCAAGCCAACAAGACCCAACGAAGAAAAAGAGAGAAGGGTGAGGACGTTACATTAAAATATGTCTGAAAGTGATGAAAAGCAGGAGAAAGAAAACAAGGATTGTAATAATAAAACACGTGCTCCCACCATTTGTGAAAGTTGCAAATCAGTCACTCGTTTCTTAGATAACAGCCAGGTAGTGGCGCTACGAGGGGATAAATGGGCCCCAACCAAATCACCAATTATCAAACCACAATCCAACCGTCCATCTTTTAATACAATTTCATATTTTATTTATCGATGATATTGTATCAATAATTTATATATTAATCTACGTCGATTATAATTGATAGTATATATTTTTAATTATTTGATAATAAATAAATATATATAATTAATAATGTTTGAATTTTAGACCTCTAAAGATTAGATAATTTAATTTGTGTTGTATCCATAAATTAAGTGATGATATATTAAAAAATTAAAATTATTTTTTATTTCTTTAATGATTTATATATGTAAGTGTGGGTGATTAGTGGGGTCCATGTTTTGTTATCCTCCACCATGATATTGAGTTAAATAAATAAAGAAATGGGGGAGGAAAGGACATAAGAGAGTAGACAACCAAATCTTTCTGTAAGCATCACCGAATATTCCAATTCGACGGTAGGGAGACGCTCACTTCTTCCACCATACCTTTTTTTTAATCCTCTTTAATTCTGTTTTAATTATTTCTCATGTCATATAGTTTTCCCATTAACGCATCTTTGTAATTTTTTTTTTTTGAATCCGATCTATTGACCAATTAATACAGATCAAGTACCGCATAGGCGACTCTCTCAACTCAATTTATTTCATTTGTAAACTTCAGATTCAAACCCCTGATCTTACATAAATGACCTAGTAACTTATCCCACTAGATCAATGATTGTTGGTGCATATTTGTTATTTATATGCACACATCTATTAAAATTTAATATAATTTATAATTGGATCCAAAACCAATGGTCACCCACAGTTGATTAAACCAATGCCATATTCCGTCGTGGTTTTAATTAGTATCTTACTCATTATTAATAATATACGGAATTTTACTTTATCCTTATATTAATTTTAAACGTATATTATCTTATAATTATTTAAATTTATACCTCGAAACGTGACTATCAAATGTTAGGAAACACACGAGAAGTCTGGTTTATTGGCTATTATACTAGTATTAAAACACTTGGCCTTGTTTATATCGTTAAAGGAGGACTAGGGACATTGGATGGTCGTGATTCATGATCATTGGGAAACACTTAAAATGGGCAGCAGATGTTGAACATCAATGGCACATCACGTTGCTTTGAATAAGTCCTCCTTGTTGGACATGTCCCTATATCTTCTTCTCCATGCTCCACCTTTTATCCCCTCTTTCATGAACTGAAAAACACTCCCCTAATTCCACTCCACTCTTTTGTTATATCTTGTCTTTCATCTTCTTCTTCATTCCACTTGAGGCATCATGTCTCGGGTTGTTGGCGGCGGTGACGGTGGCGGAGAGAAGGGCATCATGTTATTCGGTGTTCGAGTGACGGAAGGATCGTTTAGGAAAAGTGTTAGCATGAATAATCTGTCTCAGTTTGATCAGACTCCTCAGGATTCTAACGCCGATGCCGGTTATGCCTCCGACGATGTCGTTCATGCATCGGGAAGATACCGTGAACGAAAGAGAGGTTTATTTTATTATTTTTTGTGTTCGTTTTATGATTCATGTTCGGTTTTTTTTAAATGCAAATTTTATTTGCAGGTGTTCCATGGACGGAGGAGGAGCATAGATTGTTCTTACTAGGGTTACAGAAGGTAGGGAAAGGAGACTGGAGAGGGATTTCAAGGAACTTCGTGAAGACACGTACACCAACTCAGGTGGCCAGTCATGCACAAAAGTACTTTCTCCGGCGAAATAACCATAATCGCCGCCGCCGGAGATCTAGTCTTTTTGATATTACAACTGATTCCGTACGTATACGTGAACTTCGTGCATCATGTGTATTCCTGATATGGAATTATTTATTTATGTTTCTTTTGTTGGTTTGAATTTTGCAGTTCATAAACTCAACCATATTGGAAGAAGATGAACCAGTCCACCGAGAAAACATTCCGGTGCCACCGCAGATGAGTGGTTTTCCAATGTCAATGTTTCCTGTGAGTCTAAGCACTACTCCAGTAGTTTTAAAATTCACAGGAGAAAATAAATCCATGGAAAATCTCACGTTAGGGCCGATCCCGGTGGCGAAAACGTCCCCGAACCTTATCCGTCCGGTGCCGATTCTTCCACTTCCTCCATCATCAAAAATGTCAGATCTTAATTTAAACCAGAAGATCCAACTTGACCCTTCACCGCTTTCATTGAAACTCTCCACACCCTCCTCCTCCGACGAGCAGCCGCCGACGTCAGAGGCACACTCGTCTAGTTTTCAGGCCATGTCAAGCGGGGATAACAATAACATCATCAGCGTTGCTTGAAGATTACACGAGGAATATATGGGATACATATACAGTAGTAAATTACCTGGAGCTGTATTATGACAAGATTGAATAAAAATAAACAAAAAAGAAAAGAACAGAGAAGAGAATAGATTATTAAGTGATTAGGTGAAATCCCTTGTTTTGTACAGATTAATTATTACTTAATTAGAGTAGTCAAAAGGAAAGTGGGGTGTCTTTGTCTTTGATGTTGTGGGTGATCAGCTGCTGTTCTTCAATCTGCCGTGCTTTCTTTTTTATGCACTTTTAGGTACAGTGAACTAAGAGGTGTTGGGTTTAATTATCTGTCTTTGTTGTTTAAAGCTTTCTTAAAAGATATTATTGTGTGATTTGTTATATTGAATATATATATAAATAATTTATCATATGTATAATAAAAATAGAGTGAAAAATACGAATCAAATAATTTTTATTCATGTTATCGAAAACGCAGACACACCTTTAAGACATAATTACTTGGACCTACGACCACTCAATAGATTCAAGTGGATAATATTTTTAATTAATGATTTAATTTTAAATTTATAATATAAATTATTAAACATAGAATTTACTACTAATATAAAAATTTGCATTGATCTCTATTTAAATGAATCTTCTCATTTATTCTTTGATTAGTTGTGCAAGTCACTTCATGGTTAAGAGTACTTGTGTAACACCCCAACCCGTACCCGACCCGAATACGAGTATGAGATGTCACATTGACTTTTTAAAACAATATTCGTATAAAATAATAGAACATTTGAACTTATATTAATAAAATAGGATCATATATTATTGAATTATGTTTAAAACCAATTTGAAAAAATACGTTTTCATGAACAGTAAAATACGGTATGAACAACACCGTATGAACAATATCGTGAATAGTATCGTGAACAGTCCGTGAACAGTACCGAATGTTAAATTTTTTCCAGATTACTTCAGGGGTATCGATATCCTACTACAATACTGCTACAGTAACTTCGGAAAACATGTATAAAACTCACGAAAAATTAATCTTTCAACACGATAAAGTTCTCATTTCCTTATATACATTTAAAACGTTACAAAACTCGATCAGAGCATATCGGATTCAAATCTTTTATATTACATGCCAACTAAATTCTATGTAACAAAATACATGTAATTCAACTACATTTCTAATCTGATCTTCGGTAAGGAGAACTGACCTGTCTTGTTCCTCTTTACTTCTCTTTTCGCTTTCCAAACCTATGTGTGAAACAATCACATGCTAAAGTCGATGACTTAGTGAGGCATGAAACCATGTAACATTACTCTACTCATATCAATGCATAAATAATTAATGCTATCATATAACCACTATATACATGCACATATACTACTATGGTCCTGACCTCTATCATTATCATTAACCAATTTATACATATACATATATCATTAACATGCTTTTCAGTATTCATATTATTATTACTAATTTTTTGTGATCATATAAGCATATGTTGAACATTTCTATACATATCATAGAACACGTATATCATTTCACAACAGAGTACACATAACATCACATAATTCATGCCAACACTTTTGATATCTTTTATAGGCCCATGTACATTACTGAGAACTTAAGGTATTCGAGTACATTGAGGTTGTGCACTATTGCTGTCACCACAGCTCGTATAAGTCCCACTGAGTGGCATATGAAATTTGTCCCGAAGGACCAGTCCATAGATCTCGAAGAATCTAGGTGATCAGTCCATATGTTTCGAAGAACATAGGTAATCTATAATTGTCCATATGTCCCGAAAGACATAGGTAAACCCTCGACTCTTGGCATGCCAACTATACCACTAGCTCTCATATCATATAACATGGGCATTATCATTTATACATTTCATATCACGTGTTCTTTCTTTTCTGTCAATTACCACATGTATGTATAACCATATATCTCATATCATATCACATGTATCACAAGTGCATGTATTCACGTAGATCGTTTCATATGACTTATATCATTTCTCATGTTTTTATGTAAGCACATATGTCATGTCTTGTATACATATATTCACTTTCACATATCTCATATTCCTTTTTTTCATCTTTTTCATATCATGCCTCATATTACCACATATATCTGTCTTATCTCATATCATATAACTTATGTAATTACAAACACTATTTATATCAGTTCACATAACTTATCACACTAACATGAATTCACACAATTCATGTAACATATGCAATAATGTATATATCACATACACTCATGCCACATAAGCATTATATCAATTACAAATCGAATAATATTTTAGGAGTCACTTCTTACCACAATAACTCCGTCAATGGCTCATCGCAAGCCAATGTTTGTTCAATAACCTAAGTACAAATTAACTTACACTCACCTTAGCCTTGCTTTGATTCGATCCTAATTCTTTGATTGTTCCGGAACTCGTTTAGGCTCAATATCTACATAAACATAATTTTCGAAACGATTATCAGAAGCCTAAACCTTATAACTTGATGTTAATAACTTAAGCTAGTTTAATGAACCAAAATTCCATTTTTCCTTTAGGGGGTATCGATACCTCCCCTAGGGTATCGATACCCTTACTGAAATCTGTAAATTTTTGCCCAGAAATCACTGTTCATGCTCGAAAATTCACTATTCAAACCCGAAAATCATCAACTCTTCACTCAATTCTTCTATTTTAAACCCCTATCATGTTATTAAATCAAACTACCATTATATAAACCAACTTATATCCATATAAACCATCTTTAACCTCACAATTCCTTTCTCCATATAAAATCAAGAATCATACCCAAATTTTCAATATGTTATAATTTCAATTCTATCACTTTATATCTCTTAATTCCACTTATGAAAAGTCAAATTTGACTTCCACTTCTAATTATAAACTCTATTCCAAGATTTCATTCAAGAACTCGAAATCTTTAATCTTCCCTAACTCCTTTATCTTTTAATTTTAAGATAACTTAAGTTTTCCTTAAGCTTAGTTATCATCTAATGATCAAAACCCAAACCTTAAATCAACAAATAATCAATTAATTAGAAAACTTACCTTTGAGCTTGGAGATACGGGAGGAGGAAGAAGAAGAAGAAGAAGAAGAAGGAAGAAGAGTTTGTAGATAACTCTCCCCCACCCCACGTGAATCATTCATATAAGGGGGGGAATATCTTTCTTGCCAAATGACCATTTTGCCCTTTAATTCCTTTGATAATTACTAACAACTTCCAGGAAATATTTTGAAATAAATCATTGAACTATTTAACTATTCTGCTTTAACCACCAAATTCTAAAATTTTACAATTTGGTCACTAACCCGGTATTGAGGATGTTACAAGTTGAGGATGTTCCATGTCTTTATATTATCTATCTTTTGATAAAAAAATTATAATAACAAAGGATATCCCAATGTATATATCTTAAAAATTATATACATTAAAAATTAATGGGTATTTAAATATTTCATTCTTTGTGATTTAGTATTAATTCGATTTGTATGATTTTTATTATAACGCTCATGAGGATGTGGTTTTTTAAAGAAAAATGTTGATTGCATTAATAATAAATGATATCATGCAGAACAATGTCATATATACATTCGGGACAATCATAAGAAAAATGTAACGATGAACGACTAGTGGCAGTTTGATGAGCCTGAAAAGTTGAGGCAACAACATAGAAAGACAGATCACGTCGACGTCCCTGAGCACCAGACATAGAGGAGGAGGACTTGAAGAGTATTCACAGTGAACGAACGGAAAAGAAATCCTCCTGTAATTTTAATCTCATCCGGCACTTATATCCGAAAGCCAAAAAAAATGTCACATGCAATCGACCACGCATCGGGAAAACAATCAACCAAGGAAACCTGTAGAACTAGAAACCTAGAAGAAGACCAATAGAAGAAACTTGCATCGGGAGTACGAAAGCACTGGTAACCATGATACCCTTTAAGAATTTAGAAAGAGATCTAGATAGTTTAAGTTGAAAGGGGCTAATGTATATCTTAACCTTTGAATTTGATAATCTATACGAAACTGGCATTATAATTTTTTTACCTCATTTGTGTATGGATTTGATATGATTTTTTTTATTTGATCATTAACACTTTAAGATTGTGTCACATTTTCAAAAAGACTAAAAAATGAACTTTGAGTACTAAATTATAAATTTTTTTGTCAAATTAAGATACTAACTAGGTTTAAGAACAAGGTTTAGGTGCCCACTTTAAAATTGTATCACAATATCAAAGAAATTTAAAATTTAAGTTTAAATATCAAATTCGAATAAGAGTTTCTATAGGTTATTACCCCCAAAGTATGGGCCATGGGTGTTAAAAGCTTTAATTGACGTTAAGCAAAAGTTAAAATGTTCAAAACCCTAGAAATTGCTTTGGGCCTAATAATTTTTAAATGCAAAAGCCCTTGAGAATATTGGGCCAAATTGGCCTATTAGGGAAACCTGCTAATTTAATTAACCCATTTAGGGCATCCAAAACAATTAATTGTCGTAGATCTCAAATTAATTATTTTGGTGCCCTAAACCCCTAATGAGCTAATAAAATTAACGGTTGCCCTAATGGGCCAATTCGGCCGAATACTAGACTCAGACCCTTTCAAATAAGACATGAGCTGTGAAATAAATACATAAGACATGAGCTGTGAAATCGATTTTCTAAATACATATATAGATGGAGTAAAATGTTATGTGCTACTTTAATATTAAAATTTTAAATTTTGGAAGGACACTTCTCGAGACAAGAATTATGCTCATATATATATATATATATATATATATATATATATATATATATATATATATATATGGGTTAGAATTTATTTACATCTAATATAAAATATTTAGTTTTATATTTTTTATGATCGTTGGATGAGAAAATTAGAGGCTAAGATTACTTTGTTTTTTTTTTCTTTTCAGTAAATATCTTCACATTTCTTACTATTAATCTCAGTCTTCGATTTTTCTCATCTAATGGTCATAAAAAGGTTTAAAACTAAAAGTTTTACCTTAGGTATCAAATTTAAATTATATCTTGATATCGAACTTATGAAATTGTCTCAACGGTAAACTAAAGTGTTATTCTCTCTAAAAATATCGAATTTAAACAGTTAAGCCTATAAGACTGTGCAATTTCAATAGACGAAGAAAGCATGTGAATGATACTATCTTATATTCACCTAAAATTATTCGATAGAACTAAAATCCCATCACTTTGACCATCTTCAACCTCTTCACTCTTAATCTTTTTCAGCCCATATATCTGGCAATTCTCTGCCCCACACTAAAATAGAATGAACTGTTGATCCTTGTCATATTCTCCTCCTAATATAAACATTTATTTTATTTTATTTATAGAATAAAAATTCCTCAATCTCACATGCAAAATGCAGCAAAAGCTTCATACATAAGCATTTCCCTCCTTTTGCTTTTTCTATTTAGCAGTAATTGCCCCAATTTGAGTCTTACCCTACTTTTGCTTTGCTTCTCAAGCACAAGATAAGTCTCTCAAATAAAAGAAAAAGGTCAAATTTTGGGTGGAGGGAGCAGCCCCTTTTCATTTGTTTTTCATTTTAACACTTAGACGAGAATAATATATATGGTGAGGGATGGATCGAGAGTGTTGGGTTGTAGTATTTTTAAAAAAAATAAATTTTTATATAATTTAATTATATTTTTGTATTTTTCATTTTAATCTAATTTTAAATTTCTTTAAAATCTTAATATAAATTCTTAACTTCACGTTCCATCCGTCTTTATAAATGTAAGAATCTCGTGCTCATGCAAGTTTGAATGAACCCAAAGACCAAAACAACCAAAGAATCAAGAGAAAAAGACTAACACCCAAAGTTTTACGTAAAACGACTTTTCCTTTTTAGAGCTTTAACACCTTTAATGGTGGATTCACTTTAGTCTTGGAACTCATGCCCCTCCTTTAACTCGAAACACATTCGATAAACCGAATCCTCTAATAACGTAAACGAACAATGGTTAAGACTTTTCGTTGACATCTTAAATATCAGGATTCAAACGCTTGATAGATTTCAGGTACATGACCTCTCATGCATGCATGCGTATTTAAAAGTTGATACAAAAGGGTTTTGCAAGAAGCTTTCGATGGGAATATATCTTCATAGTATTAGCCAAGCTTCCATTTGTTTACTCCTCTATCACATCAAAAGTACTACACAAGCATGCATTGCAAGCTTTAATATTGGACATTTCAAATGTTTCTTTTTCAATATCAAGTTTTATAGTCCTACTTCCAACAAAAAATACATACAAGATATATGGCAGATTTCGTCATTCATCGTCGATCTTTTAGCACTTCGGCTTGATTTGAAGCTTCCCGATCCACACACATCGGTGCCGAGGCTAGGCTTGTCCCGGCGGTCGTCCCGAGTTGCCAGCTCGCCTGTTGAAAAGTGAAAAAGATCTCAAATAAAGATAAAGAGAACTTTTCTCGTAAAATAACAATTGATTCATACAATCATTTTTAAAATATTATATGTTCATATTTAACATTACGATCGATCCATTTAATTTTATGTTCGAGTCTTCCGACTTTATTTACGTATAAAATAGTGTATTATCATATATGCTGGTTCAGCTTTTAGTTCTATTGATTTGTTAATCAGCTAGTTTGCTTTGTAATAAGTATATTTTATATATGCTAGTTTGCTAATGAATAAAGTGAATGTTGGAGATTAAAACATACTACATACCACATATACAGCAAGACTCAATGTAACAGTTGATTATATTTTTTCTTACATATTCGTATTACTATTCATGCTCGGAATTCGAAGTTCTCTTAACCAAGCGACCTTTATGATTTAAGTTCGAATTGATCACTTATTAGTATACATGTAGAAATATTATTAGAGTTGTACCTGTTATGAATAAGATCGGGTCCATTAGGAACTCTTCTTTTGCTCATGCAGTTGAGATCCTGCTTGGGATACGCCACACTCAACTCTCCTTTGCCTAAAACCTTCACTTGCTCTTCCCGCGGCTGCAGGTTCGCCTCCGTCGTTGTCATCGACGTCCAAGTCCGATGGTCATCATGTGTCGTCGTCGTCGTCGTTCCGTGTCCTTGGCTTTGCAGGATTCCAATCGATACAATAACAGACATGAACCCCAAAACTACAAGGGTTCTAAACAACAAAGAAGTACCAGCTCCTCCCATGGTTGACTGTTATTGCCCTATATCTTCTAGGACATAAAAGGAAGTTGATTATGATGATGATGGTGATTGGTGTAGACATCAATTTTTTCATTTAAATTTATTATTATTATTAAAATTATTATTATTATTATTATTATAATTATTATTATATATTATTTATTAAATATTACAAAGCCCAATTACAAGAACTCAGACCCAGTTTGCAAGCCTAAACAATGTGGCCCAGATACAGAAGCCCAACATAAACCCTAAAACCCAACTAGGGTTTCTCATCTCATGCCCCAGTCGCCATTGCTCACAGCCGTTGGATCTGGCCAAAATCCAACGGTCCTGATGCTTCCAGACGAAAACCCTAGGGTATGATACCCTATGGAAACCACGCGGCGCCGCCTCAGCTATCTCCAAGCTTCCAACCGTCGCTTCACTGCCAGGTGGTCCAATGCCCCACTGTCAACGCCTCCACCGCCATTGTCGACACACCAGTACCACGACGACACCAACAGAAGACTCCAGAAGCACCTCGTTTCTGCCCCACGTTGAAACCCTATGGTGAGTCACCACCATAGTCCGGTGACTCACCTAGGGTCACCATTTGAGACCGGTCCGAGAGCCACACCGTCGATGGCTATAAAAGCCATCGACCATACCTGCAACAAAGAGGGGGGGAGGAGAAAGAATGGGAGATAACAGAAACAACAGCAAGCCAAACAAAACCCATAGCAATAAATCAAAAAGCAAAGAGAGAATAGAGTGAGAAAACTTACCACTGAGGAAGCTACACCATAGTCAGAACCTCCACACGCCGCAAAATAAATTGAAATACCGAGAGTATTTCTGTAGATCTAGGTAACTACAAGGCTTTTTAGAGAAAAAGGACACCGGATTCATCTTTAGGACGTTCGGATCTTTATTTTGGGAAATTTTGAAATTTTCCGGCCACCGGCAGCGGTGGCCGGCGGTGGTTGCCGACGCCGTAGCACGGCTGCCGGGCGGTGGCCTCTCTCTCAATTTTAGAGAGAGGCGAGAGGATTCTGGCTCTCTCTCAGTGTTGAGAGAGAAGGAAGAAAGGAGAATGAGAGAGCTGGCCCTTCGGGCCAGCCGTTTGGGGGATTTATACCCCTTCCCGAACGACGTCGTTTTGGGAAGGGGTATATGCGTAATTTACATGTATGGCTAAACCCTTTCCGTAACCATCCGAGTTTTATAATTATTCATTTTAGTCACTGAAAATAACTTCTGAATGTTCTAATTCAGCCTTTGAATTTTATTTTATTATGTTTTAATCCTTACCAGTATTAAATAATATATTTAGGACAAATATCACATTTAGTCCCTATTAATTTTAATACTTCTATTTTAATCACTGATTAAATAAATAATGGTTAATTACACTACTAGTATTTATATTTTATGATAATTCTAATCATGTCTCTTAAATATTTATATTTTTATAATTTGATCATTAAATTTTATATAATCTTAATTTTAACCATAAGTTTTATTATTTTTACATTTTTAAGTTCATATATTTATGAATATGATCCATTAGTTTTTAATATTATTACTTTTAATTTCTTTCATTTTAATTATTATTATTTTATTTTATTATTACGTTTGATATATGTTTAAATTATTATCTTCATGATTATTTTATTATTATTATTAAGTTATATAAACATATTTATATAATATTTATTTATTTATTCTATTTGTTTATTAAATAGAAATCCCATTTATAAATTTAATTTTATAAATTACTTTTAAGAAAAATAAACATATTTTGATATGTATTTATTTTTTTAATATCTAAGAAAATAGCTATCTTAAAATACCTAGAAGTCATTTTCTGATATTCTTAAATAAATAAATGTCCTTTTGTTTTTATAAACCATATATTAATATATTTTAATTATTTTTAGATAAATGTTTTATTAACATTTATTTATTTATTAATATTAAAAAAAGAGCTGTCTTAAAGCAACTAGAAGCACTTTTCTAATATTTCTAAGTAAATAAACATCTTATAAAGGTATATATTAATATATTTTCTTAAAATTATAGTAATAAATTTAAATTAAATAGAATTATAAATTAAATATATTTTGAATTTTTAATTTCTAATAATAGAGATAATTTATAATCAAAAAGTACCAATTTTGGGCGTTGTAGGGGTGCTAATCCTTCCCTAAACGTAACCGACCACGAATCCCTTTTTATTATTAAAAAGAACGAATTTTTGGTTAAAACGCAGATCAGTTTATTTTTTTAATCGATTTTTTCTTAAAAACTCTTTTAAAGGATGATTTTTAGGTATTCGACCTACCTGACCTAAAAGGTCGATGGCGACTCCCAAATTATTTTAAAAAAAAAACTATTTATTCACATCACTTTTCCCGCCAAGTAAAAAAATTCGTGCCCGGACGAAAACCGGTTACGACAGCTTGGCGACTCCGTTGGGGACCGTCAAACTTTAAAATCAATTGTAAATTGTCTCTATCAGTTGGAAATTAAAAATTCATATATTTAATTTTTTAATTCTTTTCTTTCAATTTTTTATTACTTATTACTTTTATATTATTTTAATATTTTTTTATTTTATTTAGGTATTAATTATTTTATTTGTTTGTTAGAGGTTTGAACATTTCTCCTCACACACAATACTTGCATTGCATAACATAAAGCTCTATAATTGAGTTTATCCTTTTAAGTGGGAGTGAAAGCGACGTCTTCGTGAGAATTTATTCTCCGTGTCAAACCTAGCAAGTAACTTTCGGGGTTCATATGCTCTATGTCTTCGTGAGAATTTATTCTCCGTGTCAGGTATAGAGAAATGTGTCCCCTCGAATTGAACTCGATCCGCTTAAATCTGTAATGGACTAGGATTGAGGGTTGACAGCCAAAGGGGGCATCAACAAGGATAATTCGAGTACCTTTACTCCTAGAACTGAAACCCTGCATATAATAAACCCTAGAAATTCACCTGATCTAAGACAATACTGAACCTCTGTCTATAAGTGTACACAAAGGAGAAATAAGCTTTAGCTTTTATTATTTTCCTCTCTGAATAAATGCAGGTGAACTAGAAATCATGCGGTTAGGTTAATTTTTCCAAACAAAGCATGGAACTAGAAAGCATGAGGTTAGGATTTATTACATACCATGATAAATAAATTTTTTTCTTTCAATAAGTTGGTATTAACCATTTTATTTTTTCTTATTTTCCCATGCATGTTATTTTTGCTCTAATTTATTTATATTGTTTTCTTTTGTTTGCATTGCATAATCATGACCAAAAGGTGTTTACTTGAAAGACTGTTCATCATATTGGAAAGAAATCGTAAATGGACAAAAAGTTTTATGATCAAACAAAAATATGATGCGACCAAGAAAAGATATCCTGAGGGAACTCCGAGGATAGAAGAGAGCTATGCACTCAAAGATCGTATGCCCATTGAAGAGCAAAAGGAGATACGAGAAATAAGAGAGCAGATGTCCAAGATGATGGATAGAATATCTATTTTGGCCAAAAGAGAAGAGATTCCTGCGCAGAAAGAGAGAAAGTTTAATGAAGATAATCCTGCAATTTCAAATATGCAAGGGACTTCTGATCTTAACCAACTTGAGAAATTACAGACAGTCATCATTCGTATTCACAAATCGTCTGGAGATACCAAAGAAATGGTGACCACTGTAAAAGCTCTCAGAGATGAGAAGAAATCTTGTAATCAGAAATCATCAAAGTTTGGTATGCTCCCGATGTCTAAAACTCAGGTTCAATCCAAGACAAAAGGTGGTTCTCATCTTGATACTATCCCCATATCATATAAAGAGTTATATGAGAAGTTACTTGAAGCACGAGAAGTGGATCCATATTATATAAAACCGTTCCAACCTCCGTATCCGAATTGGTATAACATCAACGTTTATTGTAAATATCATGCCGGAGCTCAAGGACATACCATTGAAAATTGTCTTGCCTTCAAACGTCGAGTCCAAAGTCTTTTGGATCAGGGAATCTTGCAGTTTATGATAAATGATCAACCTAGTTTGGTAACTGAAGATCCTGCCAGATCAACACCAAAAGTCTTCAAAGGTAAGAATATCAGTAGGGGCGCCCAGAGAGAAGAAGATTTACTGAGGTTTGAAGCTCAAATACGTCATTTGAAGATTGAAAACGATAAATTGAGCACCAAAATGGAAACCATACATGAAGATTTCCAGAAGGTCAGTCAAGCCTTTCAAAATGTTGATATAGGGAACACCCCAGAAGAGTGGATAACAGGGGTCACCAAACTGAAGAAGAACTGTAACATACATGAAAGACGAGCCAAGAAGTTTTATCATAATTCACAAGTTACAGAAGAAAGATGCAATACGTCTGTTAGTGAATTGAAAAGATGTCAAGTCAAAAAATCAAAGGTTAAATAGTGCTATGACCAACATGGAAGCATCATATCAGATTCATCAGCTTGAAATCGATACTGAATTAAAAGCCACTATGGCCAAGAACAAAACATTGAAGAAATGTGTAGATGATTATGGAGATCTTGTACGAGAACTTTTTGAACATAAAGATTCTCTCACAAGAAAAAATGAACAACATTGTTTACAACTTCGAGAATTGACACAAAGGATGAAGGAAAAAGACAATATCATGAATGAAGCTGTTGCTCAAGCAAACAATGTGGCTCATAGGCTGGTGGACTTAGGTGGCTTCACGAGAGAATTAAAGCATATGGATAACTCCACACCTGAGTATAAGTGGAAGTTAGTTTGGCTTTTAAGTGAAATAGAGAAATTAGGAGTGAAAGCTATTCCCTACATGTAAAAGTTTTGTTTGATGTACCGAAACTTTTGTGTTCAATGAAATCTATTCTAAGATGATCACTCTTGAGTAACACCTTTTCATACATGCATTTACATTTTGTATCTGTGCATTTTCATTTTGTATTCTTACTTTTTACATCTTTGCATTACACAATTTGCATTCTTATTTTTTGCATTTATGCATTTTCGCATTTACATTACATTTTTTTAGTATTGTTATACACATTAA